TAAAAACAATATCACTATTATTACTGTGTGTAAAATATATTGACCCAGACAATACTTTGTCCACCAAGCAACTCAGAGCGTCACGAACCAATGAAGCGAACCGATTGTCTCCTGCAAACTCCACTCCCCTTTTGCTCCTCTCTTATTTCCTCTGGGAGGGGCCATTCATCGTCCACTTGGGGCCTTATTCCCAAGTCGACCCCTGTTCTTTAGGTGTTCCCTTCGTCTGGCAGCTCTGCGCATGCGCACACTGGGAACAGGCTCCAGCTGTTCTTCTGCCCCACTGATGTCTGACTCTGAAGGCAGCTGATAACCGGCATACAGCTCTGTCCCCCTCTCTGCCTCCGACACAGAGCCCTCCTCCGAGCCTTCCCCAGACTCCAGGACTGGCCCATCTTCCTCTCCATCCTCCTCAAGTACCATGGACTCCACAGTCCTCCTCCTCCTCCTCCTCCACCTCTCTGCAAACCCTTCTAGCACTGATGATGTTACCTAGTTGGTTCGTGAAACGTCTGCAAGAGAGCAACCAAGCTCACAGAGCCCTCACTTACCCTCTTCCTCCTCAAACCCCATTCCCTTCTAGCACTGATGATGTTACCTAGTTGGGTCACGAAACGTCTGCCGGAGAACATCCAAAACTTAAGACAGCTCAGAGACCACCAAGGACCCCATGTTTGTACATAGACCCCCCCCCCGGAGACAAGAGAAATCAATTTCCATCTCTGTTGACGTTCTCCTTAATTCCCCCACCCCCCCCGGAGGAGGCTAATGGATCACTCCATCCTTGTAAGAAATAAGTGTTTTATGCATGAGTGGTACATATTCTGTACAAATTATAAGGGTCTTTCTTATTGTGTTTCCCTGAAAATAAGACATGGTCTTATTTTCTTTTGACCCCCGAATTAAGCGCTTGGCCTTATTTTCAGGGAAGTCTTATTATTTTTGAGGTGCTGAGCGTGGTCACTTCGTGGCTGCTTCTGTGTTGCAATATTTTCAGGGAGGGCTTATTTTTTGGGGGGGCTATTTTAGTGCATGCGCTCCAAAGCCCAATTGGGCTTATTATCCAGGGAGGTCTTATTTTCGGGGAAACAGGGTAGTCGGCCCCCTGTTCACTAGTCCATCATGGAAGCCAGGCCTAGTTGTGTCTTCCTTCCAAGCCAACTAACTTCCTTCCCAGAAAATGACCGCTAGCCATCTCCTCCAACGGATCCTGCCGGAATAGTAACCCTGTTATCTTGTTTTGACAGTTGCACTATAAAATCACTCCAGCGACGCCATGTTTGCATCAGCCGGCTCGAAAGACCCCAGAACTGGGGGGAGAACTCCTGTGAAGTGAGGTTCGTCATTTTGGTGCTGGCGCCCCCGAAAATGGTAGGTTTGACTTTCCTTCTGGACTGGGGTGAGTTGAGGGGATGTCCAAGCAGAATTCGCCCTACGTCAAACGAGGGTGAAAGGACTCCATGCGGAATATCAAATTTATATATGAAGTCTGTGCCTTGAGCCAATAACACAGGGGCCTGTAGCAGGTTTTAAGACTTCAACTCTCAGAATTCCATCTGGGGAATAGAATAGGAATAGAATAGAATAGTTATTGGAGAATAGGATGGGATAGGGATAAGGATAGGATAGGATAGAATATAGGATAGAATAAGGAATAGAATAGAAATAGGAATAGAATAGAATAAATCCTATAAAAGAGAATAGATTAGAATAGAATAGAATAAATATTATAGAATCGAAGAGAAGAGAATAAATACTGGAGAATAGAATAGAATAGAGTAAATATTATAGAATAGAATAAAATAGAATTGAATCAAATAAATAGAATAGAATAGAGTAAATATTATAAAATAGAATAGAATAAATAATATAGAATAGAATAGAATAAATACTGGAGAATAGAATAGAGTAAATATTATAGAATAGAATAGAATAAAATAGAATTGAATCAAATAAATACTATAGAATAGTGTAGAATAGAATAGAATAAATACTGGAGAATAGAAGAGTAAATATTATAAAATAGAATAGAATATAATAAATACTATAGAATAGAATAGAATAGAATAGAGTAAATATTATAAAATAGAATAGAATAGAATAAATACTGGAGAATAGAATAGAGTAAATATTGTAGAATAGAATAAAATAGAATTGAATCAAATAAATACTATAGAATAGTGTAGAATAGAATAGAATAAATACTGGAGAATAGAAGAGTAAATATTATAAAATAGAATAGAATATAATAAATACTATAGAATAGAATAGAATAGAATAGAGTAAATATTATAAAATAGAATAGAATAGAATAAATACTGGAGAATAGAATAGAGTAAATATTGTAGAATAGAATAAAATAGAATTGAATCAAATAAATACTATAGAATAGTATAGAATAGAATAAATACTGGAGAATAGAATAGAGTAAATATTGTAGAATAGAATAAAATAGAATTGAATCAAATAAATACTATAGAATAGTATAGAATAGAATAAATACTGGAGAATAGAATAGAGTAAATATTATAGAATAGAATAGAATAAATACTATAGATTAGAATAGAATAGAATAGAATAAA